GCAGTCGCCGGGATGTCCTGTCCCCGGTGCTTCATCTGAGGACGCCAAGCGGGCACGGGAGCCTCTTTCACGACTCCGAGGGGACTCTTCTGCTATCGAGTTATGCCATTTGGTTTGAAAACGCCGGGGCAACCTTTCAGAGGATGGTTACCAAAATGTTTGCTCCTTTGCTCGGTCGGACAATTGAGGCTTACATCGATGATATGGTGGTAAAGAGCCGACATGAGGCAAACCATTTGTCCGACTTAGCCGAGATGTTTGCCATTCTGAAGAAGCACAAGCTGCGCTTGAACGCCTCGAAGTGTGCCTTTGGTGTGGGATCCGGGAAATTTTTGGGATTCTTAGTCACGAACCGAGGCATCGAAGCAGACCCCACTCAGATTAGAGCCGTGCAAGAGTTGAAGCAGCCCAGCTCGGCTAAGGACGTGCAGCATCTGGCCGGGATGGCCGCCGCGCTCAATCGATTTATAAGTCGGTCATCAGATCGCTGCCGCCCTTTCTTTCAAGCATTGAAGTCAAAGTTCTCATGGGATGACGAGTGTGACCGAGCTTTGGCCGAGCTCAAGGATTAATTGTCTTCTCCGCCACTGTTGGTTACACCAGAACCCGGTGAGGAACTCTACCTTTACCTTGCCGTCTCCCAGCACGCAGTAAGTGCGGTGTTAGTCCGGGCTGAAGGAATCAAGCACCTCCCAATTTTTTACGTAAGTAAGACCTTGCTGCCGGCTGAGACGAGGTACTTGCCGCTGGAAAAGCTTGCGTTGGCACTGATGATGGCTTCGAGGAAATTGGCACATTATTTTCACGCCCATACCATCGTCGTACTGACCGAATTTCCTCTCAAGGCCTTGTTTGAACGCGCAGACTTTTCAGGCCGAATTTTAAAATGGGCGGTCGAGTTGGGACAGTTCGATGTGAAGTTCCAGCCGCGCACCGCAATCAAAGCCCAAACCTTGGCCGATTTTGTTGCCGAGTTCTCACCTGGTACTCATCCGGTATGCCCGGTCGATATTGCCGAGGCAGATGATGAAACGCACGCAATGCCAACCGAGGAACAACCAGCTGAAGAAGGTCGCGCCGCGGAGTTAGCGCGCACCTTCGAAGTTCCCTCGATTTGCACGGTAATACCACCCGGCGATGCGATGATGGAGTTGTGTATCACCAACCCATCCACTCTGTCCGGCACCGCATCACCAAGGGGGGAAGGAATGATTCCACACAGCTCAGAACTTGATGATTCGCCTACGAACTTGAGCATTCTGCACCAACTCGTCGAGTCCGGTGCCGAATCATCAAGGGGGAAAGGAATGGTTCCAGACAGCTCAGAACCTGCGGCCGGCTTCACACCGCAACCTGGTGATTCGCCTACGGACTTGAGCATTACGGACCAACTTGCTGAGTCCGGTGTCGAATCACCAAGGGGCACTGAATTTGAACCGATCAACACCAAACTTGGCACCGCACAGCCGAGCAGTTGTGATCCCATTGCCCTTCGCAACTCTCAGGACCCATCTGACTGCTGGAAGCTTTTCATAGGGGATATGTGGAAGCTTTTTGTTGATGGAGCGTCCAACCGCCAACGTCCAGCCAAATAATGAAAGCTTTTGCGGTTCGATGAGGCCTATCGACCGTAGTATATTTGAGAAGAACCAGAGATGCACCATGGGATCCCCAGATCTGTCGAAGTGATCAATTTGCGACATTTTGAACCTATCCAGCAGCGTCACAGCCACGTCGGTATATCCATCCTTGATATCCGGGATAGCCTTTACCCCTTGGGATTTCTTGAACAACTGGGAGAGAGATTTGGCCAGATTTTGTTGCCGAGTTCTCACCTAGCACTCATCCGGTATGCCGGTCGACATTGCCGAGGCAGATGATGAAACGCCACACAATGCCAACCGAGGAACACCAGCTGAGAAGGTCGCGCCGCGGAGGTAGCGCGCACCGTCGAAGTTTCCCTCAGTTTGCACGGTAATACCACCCGGCCTGCGATGACGGAGTTGTCTATCACCAACCCATCCACTCTGTCCGGAACCGCATCCACACAGGGGGAAGGAATGGTTCCACACAGCCAGAACTTGATGATTCGCCTACGGACTTGGGCATCTGAACCGACTTGCTGAGTCCGTGCCGAATCATCAAGGGGGAAGAATGGTTCCAGACAGCCTCAGAACCTGCGGCCGGCTTCACACCACCGCAACCTGTGATTCGCCTACGACTTGAGCATTCAGACCAACTTGCTGAGTCCGTGTCGAATCACCAAGGGGCACCGAATTTGAACCGGTCAACACCAAACTTGACACCGCACAGCCGAGCAGTTGTGATCGCCATTGCCCTTCGCAACTCTCAGACCCATCTGACTGCTGGAAGCTTTTTGTGGGGGACATGTGGAAGCTTTTTGTTGATGGAGCGTCCAACCGCCATGGTGCCCGGCCTAGGTATTGTTCTTATATCCCCGGACGGCCTAACCATTGAGCATTTCTATCACACTCGGCTTCCCGGCGTCTAACAACGAGGCTGAGTACGAGGCGCTTCTTGCGGGCTCAAGAGCGCAATTCCAAATGAAGGCTGCCGATCT